GACTAATAAATTATTGTATTTAAACGAATTGAACTTGTATTTCCATACAAAAGGTAATGAAAGAGTAGACTAGAATTTTAGGAAATACAGTATTAAAAATAAGTATTTTTCTGCAAAGTAATACTTAAAGACCTATGAAAGTATGAGAAGTGAATAACTGAAAAATATACATAAAAAACCTGGACAGTTTCAAATATGGTAGGATTATATTTTAACATGGGATTCGGCAACCAGCTGGATATCTGGATGAACAATTCCAAACTAACTAATATCACTTTCACATCATGAGGATAAATATATTTTGAGTAATAGTGAACTTACATATAAGTTTAATGTTGTGCAAGAATGGTATATAATACCGACAAGATGAAATTAAGACACATGTGCAACATCTGGGTATCTTTATTGTAGACGTTTCGCCATCCAATGGCTTTATCAATACAAATTCTAGGACATAACTTGAAGACAGTAGGACTATAGTCCTACTGTCTTCAAGTTATGTCCTAGAATCTGTATTGATAAAGCCACTGGATGGCGAAACGTCTACAATAAAGATACCCAGATGTTGCACATGTGTCTTAACTTCACATAAGATTAATATTGAAAACCCGTATTACAGTATAGAAAAAATGTCTTAACATTAGCTCATTTATTTCCATTGTATTAGATTAATGAATACTAACTTGGGGTTTGTGGAGATTTGCATACAAACAAGCAAGTCATATAATAAGTGAACTGTAATGAGACTTAGCTTCATGACGACTACACTGTTCCTCAGCCACTTCCAGAAAGTTCTTGGAGTCGCCGATGTAACCACACTTGGGGTAATTATACTTACCACTAATCTTTATTAAGATTAGTGGTAAGTATAATTACCCCTAGGAGGTGTTATTCAGCATATCTCAGAAACTGACTGCTGAAATTATACATACTGGTGTGGGCTCGATGGCCCTCGGATCACCGGGTAATGGTACGTCAAGTAAGACATGAATTGGATATCTGCTGCGCAGCCGACCTACCCCTGTCATGTTTATCAGACGTACCTGGGTATTTGTAGCTGACCAGTAGTTGCACCCGGTTATCCTCTGTCTTGATTGAAGCAGACATGTTCTTTGACGAATGTCACACTGTGTTACACTCCGTCAGGAAATTCGCAACACTCATTGCACACTGTTCATTAAGTATTGTTTCTTATTAACAGTCATATCACTAAAGAAGCTGTTCATACTTCTCTGTAAATGTTCTGCTGTGTCCTTTGAGATTCTTTTATGCACAAAAACGCGTGGATCAGTGTTCTTTGTTTGTTATCCCGGCATTAATGTTTCCCCTGGCTGGATTTTAAAGCAATCTAATCGCCCCTGCCCCGCTCCAGCCGCCGCTGCCTTCGGCGTCTCTCTACATAAATGATTCGCTGATACAAGCAGATTTGCCTCCCTTGCCAAACTGCAACAATTTGCAACACAAATGCTTGATTTCTTGTTATGTCTCAGTCATTTAGAGTTCATTATGTCCCACATGTGAATAAAGTGAGGTAGAAGTTTCCCTGTACCTTTCCTTTTGTGGTACAGAGATTAGTTAATCTCATTAACTCACATTGGTTGCAACACTGGTCTCTTGCAAAGAAGTAGCATAACGTATGACTGGTACAAGCTGGTTAAACATCTTCTTGTAATTACTTGTGGAAGTAAACAAGATGCTTGCCCCAAGGGCTGGGCCCCTCAGTGCTGACGGGCTGAAGGGATGCCAATACCCCCTTCCTTGGAAATATAAACACATATGCAGTATAATGTGATCCTTTATTGACAACCCTTATCTGGTTGATCAAGCCATCAACCAGATAAGGGTTACTTATGTTTTTTTTTTAATGCAACGTGATGAAATGACTGATGCCTTTCAGTATTTTCATCTGCTGATGTACGTTTGTTTTATGCCAGATGACAGTATGGAGAAAGAAATGCTTTTGTATCATTCCCTAAAATTTTTTACAACAGCAACTGATATCATCGAAGTGGTAACGAACTTCTTTGAGGAAAATCATGGGACTCGCCGGCAAGGGTAGAATGCGTCATCTAAACTAACGCCTTAACCAAACCATACCACGGGCGGGACTTGAACCCGCGGTGAGTCTCAAAACTCCAGACCGTCGCGTTAGCCGCGGGTTCAAGTCCCGCACGTGGTATGGTTTGTTTGCAATCGTGTCATTACGATTTCGTGAGTCAAGTAACGCCTTAACCAGTCGCCTGTTCAAACAACTGTGTATGAATATGGACCCTGGCCATCAAGCCTTGCTTTTCTATATAAATGTGCGATGGCTTTCGATGGGAAACACTGTCTGGCGGCTTTACTAACTGGGAGAAGTGGGAGTATTTTTAGAGCTGCAGCAGAAGCAAGATCTCCATGAAATGCTCCAGTCCGAAGAATTTCAACTGTGTCTAGTTTGCCTTATACCTCTTCGAAGCGCTAGATATCAATAAGAAACTGCAAGTCAAGAACATCAAATTATTGATCAATACGACACCATTCGAGCCTTCGTGGCCAAAAATGATCTCTGGAATAAAACGAATCTAGGATCAAGACTGTTTCACAAACTTGGACTCTGCTGTCTTGCTGGTTAGCATGATTCCATGTTGAGAAAACAAGTCATCGTTCACATGACTGTGCGTAAAGAGGAATTCATCCGCTACTTTCCAGATCTGGATAAAAAACTGCAAGGCATGGAAATTCATCAGGAACTTATTCCAATGTAACGTAGCTGATTTTCGGATGAAGTGCAGGAATAGTTCCTTGAGCTGAAGCTCAACCACTCAGCCGAGGACAACGTCAAAGCTCTGGATCTGGAGATGTTCTGAGTTAAATACCTTTATATTTACCCCTTTGTCTCACATCAAGCTCTACAAATTATGAAGATATTTAAATCCACGTATCTTTGTGAGGCTGCGTTTTCTGTGTTGGTTGCTGTCAAGACCGGATACAGAAACAAGCTGAGCGAGGAAAGTGACTTGTGCTGCGCCCAGTCCCTGGACCCATTACGTACCTCTGTAATCTGTAAATACCTTTGTAACTTGTCATGATTGTGACCAGACCTACCTGGAGTTCATTACCTTTGTAAATTGTGAGTTCATTACTTTTGTAAATTGTGAGTTCATTACCTTTGTAAATTGTGAGTTCATTACCTCTGTAACTTGCTCAGCTATCAAAACTTTGGAGTCCAGTCCCTGGACCCATTATGTACCTCTGTAATCTTTTGACTACCGCCCACAGGATGGGTATGGGGTGCATAATAAACATATTAAACTAAAACTAAACTGCTGCGCTCTTTCTGGTACGTGTTCACGTATAAGGGTTCTGGCAACTCAAAAGTAGTGTCAAAAATCTTACTAAATATGTCCTCATTTTATATATTGTGAATTTGCGATTTGCTCCTTAAACAAACTTGAATAATTAAAAAAAAAATAATAAAGTCGAGAATGAAAACTAATTTCTTAGTTTTTCTATTTAAAAAAAGAGGATTTTATTTAATTTTTACATATAGAAATACAGTGGTCCCTCGATTATCGACGGTAATCCGTTCCTGGAAGCCGGTCGATTATCGAAATGGTCGATTTACGAATCAATTTTCCCCATAAGAAATAATGTAAATTCAATTAATCCGTTCCTGACACCCAGAAGTATTAAAACAAAAAAAATTTTTACATGAAATATTCATGTAGTACATAAACAATACAATGGGAAATGATGAATGAAACATTAACAGCATAACACTTACCTTTATTGGAGATTCTTCTTAGTGTATGGGAGACTGGAGGAGGAGGAGAGAGTGGATTGTTTATAGTCTGGAAGGGGAATCCCCTTCCAGCAACACCTCAGGTACCATTTGCTTTTCTGGGGTTGCTTCTTTTCTCTGTTTCTTAATGCCACTAGGACCAGCTTGAGAGTCACTGGAGTCCTGTCTCGCAAAATAACTGTGCAGAGAGCTCTGTTTCTGGCGTCTCTTTAAAACTTCCCTAAAATGGGCCAAGACTCTGTCACTGTACAAGTTGCCGATATGGCTTGCAACATCCTTCTCTGGGTGATGTTTCTCCATAAATCTTTCCATCTTACCCCACATAGTAAAAATCTCCTTAATTTCTGAAGAAGGCACCTTCTTCCATCTCTCTTCCTCCTCCTCTGCACCAAGATTCTGAGCTGCGATCTGTTGCTCTTCCTGCTGAAGCTCTTGCAGCTCCTCAGTGGTTAGCTCTTCGTTGTGGTCCTCCACCAACTCTTCCACATCCTCCAAACTCACATCCAACCCCATGGAACTCCCCAGTGCCACAATAGAGTTCAAAACTGACATAGGCTCATCAGGGTCAGCCCCAAACCCTTCCAAATCCCTCTTGTCGACACAATCTGGCCACGATTTCTTTGGAGCCATGGTAGCTTATTTAGCACTTAAATAACTTGCAAGCACTAAAATAAATGAAATATTATGAAATATTTCACTGGAGCACGTGAGAGGACCGCCGCTAACTGGTAAACAATGGCACACTGGCTGGGAAGGAAGGCTGAGGCGGGTCGAGGCCCGCTTACCTCGTGCATACGCGTCTGGGACGACGGGTCGAGACGGGTCGATAAACGAATTTCGGTCAATTTCCGAGTCAATATTTTGTCGAAAAAACCGGTTGATTTCCGAAATGGTCGACTTTCAGGCCGGTCGATTATTGAGGGACCACTGTATATACGAAGGAAGGCAGGGGCGTGGAGACGAGGATCTATTGCTACTGAGAGAGCGACCCAAAATAGATTAAGAACCACTGTCATAGAAGGTATCAAGATATCATTTGTTGCTACACAGGGAGGCCTGGTTACAGACCGGGCCGGGGGGGCGTTGACCCCCGAAACTCTCTAGGTATACTCCAGGTATACTTCAGGTATACATGGCATTGAATGGTTCCTATTATCATGATGCATCAGCCTTCATTGTACACATATTCCAAGCGGGTGACGGTGTTCAGGACATACTGCTGACTTTTGTGCAATAAACCATGTGCTAGATAGGAACGAAATGCAGGTAAAGCAGAGAATACGGGTGTGATCGTTGACGTGGGCGTGGGTCCGGGGGCAGTAACGGACGTGTCAGCAGGTGAGGACGCACCGTCCTTGGCTGGGTCGTAGTCTCCTCTCTGTTGAACATCACATAAAACAATGAGCAACAAATACACATTAGTAGCTAAAAAAGAGCATTTCACTGACACAACACATCATTGATTGTTTTCTTAATATGGAAAAAAAATCTGAGAGAAAAATGTGAACTTCTCAAGAACAGGAAAATAATTTAATTTAAAATATTACTTTACTAACATTTTTAGGAATACTGACCACTTATAAATATCGAGGAATAACAAAAAAAAAAAAAGCTGGCTGACCTATAAAGGTGTGTTAATTGGAGGTAATTCTTGAGTGGGTGTGTGAGGCGAGAGCTGAGGTAGGGAGCGTCGACGTCCTTCCCACCATCACCAGTCAGCAGCCCCAGAGATACACTATTCGCTACAAGCACCAGCTGCCCACACAAGAAAGTTTTGCATCATTGGATTGCCTTAATATATCATAAATAGGGTCCTATTACGATATGGTTAATAAACAAATTTCGTAATCTACACCAACAACAAAATTCTTAATGTTAATAATACCTGAATGTAAAAAGGGAACTATACACAGCTCTCAACGAGCTTTAAATTTAAATAAACTGGCTGATACAAATGTAGCCCCTAGTTAATAGAAATGTAGCCCCTAGCTAATAAAAATGTAGCCCCTAGCTAATAAAAATGTAGCCCCTAGCTAATAAAAATGTAGCCCCTAGCTAATAAAAATGTAGCCCCTAGCTAATAAAAATGTAGCCCCTAGCTAATAAAAATGTAGCCCCTAGCTAATAAAAATGTAGCCCCTGGATGATACAAATGTAGCCCCTAGCTAATAAAAATGTAGTCCCTGGCTGACACAAATGTAGCCCCTGGCTGACACAAATGTAGCCCCTGGCTGACACAAATGTAGCCCCTGGCTGACACAAATGTAGCCCCTGGCTGACACAAATGTAGCCCCTGGCTGACACAAATGTAGCCCCTGGATGATACAAATGTAGCCCCTAGCTAATAAAAATGTAGCCCCTGGCTGACGCAACGCAAATGTAGCCCCTGGCTGATACAAATGTAGTCCCTAGCTAATAAAAATGTAGTCCCTGGATGACACAAATGTAGCCCCTGGCTGACACAAATGTAGCCCCTGGATGATACAAATGTAGCCCCTAGCTAATAAAAATGTAGTCCCTGGCTGACGCAAATGTAGCCCCTGGATGATACAAATGTAGCCCCTAGCTAATAAAAATGTAGTCCCTGGCTGACACAAATGTAGCCCCTGGATGATACAAATGTAGCCCCTAGCTAATAAAAATGTAGCCCCTGGCTGACACAAATGTAGCCCCTGGCTGACACAAATGTAGCCCCTGGCTGACACAAATGTAGCCCCTGGCTGACACAAATGTAGCCCCTGGCTGACACAAATATAGACCCAGGATGATACAAATGTAGTCCCTAGCTAATAAAAATGTAGCCCCTGGCTGACACAAATGTAGTCCCTAGCTAATAAAAATGTAGTCCCTGGCTGACACAAATGTAGCCCCTGGCTGACACAAATGTAGCCCCTGGCTGACACAAATGTAGCCCCTGGCTGACACAAATGTAGCCCCTGGCTGACACAAATATAGCCCCTGGCTGATGCAAATGTAGTCCCTGGCTGACACAAATATAGTCCCTGTCTGATGCAAATATAGTCCCTGTCTGATGCAAATGTAGTCCCTGGCTGACACAAATGTAGCCCCTGGCTGATACAATTGTAGTCCCTGGCTGATACAAATGTAGCCCCTGGCTGATACAATTGTAGTCCTTGGCTGATACAAATGTAGTCCCTGGCTGACACAAATGTAGCCCCTGGCTGACAAATGTAGCCCCTGGATGATACAAATGTAGTCCCTGGCTGACACAAATGTAGCCCCTGGCTGACAAATGTAGTCCCTGGCTGACACAAATGTAGCCCCTGGCTGACACAAATGTAGCAAGGGGAAAATTAGAATATATGGAAGATGGCTAATGTGATTCCTGCCATCGATTTGCTGCCCAACTTGTTTGACCTATGGTTAAAAAAATGAATATTTCATGTTAATTTGGGACGCTGAATTTGAATCTGAAGTTGTTTTAACACGAAGATTATCTGTGTAATAAAACCCCCATCCTAACCCCAGTTACTTTTCAATTATATTATTATCTGAGTGGTTGGTCATTCTATGGAAGATCATTTACGGCTTAGATTGATTTTTTGTAGATTTACGAGATGTTTTAACACTAACGGATTGTAAGTTTTTTTTTTTTCAGTGTAAGTGGTATTTTCATTTGTCAAGTCGGGTATCACTATTATTGAAATATTTCTGTTTGATCGTATGTACATACGTCGGTCTACAATCTTAACATTGTTCCAGACTACAGAGCGGAACTCTTGTCCAGGTTGAGGGACTGACCACCTCAGTACTACTTTATCGAGAGTAATTTATTGATTACATCATCTATGCATCTCCACTACTTCTGTTGACTTCTCTGTATTCGACTGAAGAAACCTCATGTGTAGGCGAAACGTTTCGGAATAAAGATCCCTAATTGATATATAATAAGATACTTATGCAACATTTGCGTAACTTTATTGTGGACACGTTTCGCCAGCCAGTGGCTTTATCAGTCCAGTACAGAGAAGAATGGATGAAGATCAGGAGTTTGAGGTAATCCGTCCCTCAGCCTGGAGTTGATGTTATCAGTTCATCAGTCTTGATAAGACTGCACCGGGGTCTCACCTGAATTAGCATCAGCACTGTGGCTTTACTTATGTCAGCACCATGGCCTCAGCTGAATCAGCATCAATAATCTAACTTCACCTGCGTCAGCACTATGGCCTCACCTGTGACAGTGTCAGCACCGTAGCAACACTGAGCGACATGTGTGGTCCTCCCCAAGTCTGGTAGATAAACTCTCAGCTCTTCTGAGCACGGTGATTCACGTGCAGGCAGGGCTCTCAGCTCTCTTTTGGGCACGGTGACTCACGTGCAGGCAGGGCTCTCAGCTCTCTTTTGAGCACGGTGACTCACGTGCAGGCAGGACTCTCAGCTCTCTTCTGAGCACGGTGACTCACGCGCAAGTAGGACTCTCAGCTCTTCTGAGCGCGGTGACTCACGTGCAGGCAGGACTCTCAGCTCCTCTGAGCACGGTGACTCACGTGCAGCAGGACTCTCAGCTCTCTTTTGAGCACGGTGACTCACGTGCAGTCAGGACTCTCAGCTCTCTTCTGAGCACGGTGACTCGCGTGCAGGTAGGACTCTCAGCTCTCTTCTGAGCACGGTGACTCACGTGCAAGTAGGACTCTAAGCTCTCTTCTGAGCACGGTGACTCACGTGCAAGTAGGACTCTCAGCTATCCTCTGAGCACGGTGACTCACGTGCAGGTACGAGACACAAGAGTATCAGTCTATAGTAAATTATATCGCATCACTTCACTAAGTCATTGATATGGTACTAACACTATTATAAGTTAACATGAAGACATAATCTCCGTTCATGTTAATATTGTCAGACTGTATGAGTGCTAAAATAAATTTTTAACTCGACTATAGATTGGATGACACGACACGAGACTTCACCAGTACAGCACGGAGAGGTGACTGTGTGGAGAGGTGACTGTGTGGAGAGGAGACTGTGTGTGTCGTGCGCCTGAACCAGCGGCCAGTAACCTTGTCCTTGCTTCACCTAGCATAACTAATTGACTCTGTGCCGCCATGTTATAGCGTTTTACTTGTAATAATTTCCTTTCTCTGTCACGATGTATGCCGCTACTGATACCGAAATTTTTGAGAATTTAAAGAGTTCAAATAATTTCTTATTAAAATTATAAACATCTGAATGGCTAGAACAGTAACTATACAATGAACTATATATAAACTATGTGAGGAGAGAATGGCAACAGAGGACCCACGTCAGAACAAAAGAAATATGAATAAATGATCTAGAAATCATTGACATTGTGTAAGGTTAGCGTAATGGTATATAGAAGTTACTAACACATCGCCCACTCTGTGAGTTCTGCTTCCCTGGCGTGCATGGTGTGCTGCTTCTATGGCGTGCATGGTGTGCTGCTTCTATGGCGTGCATGGTGTGCTGCTTCTATGGCGTGCATGGTGTGCTGCTTCTATGGCGTGCATGGTGTGCTGCTTCTATGGCGTGCTGTTTCTATGGCGTGCATGGTGTGCTGCTTCTATGGCGTGCATGGTGTGCTGCTTCTATGGCGTGCATGGTGTGCTGCTTCCCTGACGTGCATGGTGTGCTGCTTCTATGGCGTGCATGGTGTGCTGCTTCTATGGCGTGCATGGTGTGCTGTTTCTATGGCGTGCATGGTGTGCTGCTTCCCTGGCGTGCATGGTGTGCTGCTTCTATGACGTGCATGGTGTGCTGCTTCTATGGCGTGCATGGTGTGCTGCTTCTATGGCGTGCTGTTTCTATGGCGTGCATGGTGTGCTGCTTCTATGGCGTGCATGGTGTGCTGCTTCTATGGCGTGCATGGTGTGCTGCTTCCCTGACGTGCATGGTGTGCTGCTTCTATGGCGTGCATGGTGTGCTGCTTCTATGGCGTGCATGGTGTGCTGTTTCTATGGCGTGCAGAGTAAAGTCCGAGGCAGCTACGGTGAAAAGCTCTGTCCCACAAGGCACAGTACTAGCTCCCATCTTGTTCCTCATCCTCATATCCGACATAGACAAGGATGTCAGCCACAGCACCGTGTCTTCCTTTGCAGATGACACCCGAATCTGCATGACAGTGTCTTCCATTGCAGACACTGCAAGGCTCCAGGCGGACATCAACCAAATCTTTCAGTGGGCTGCAGAAAAAAATTTATGAAGTTCAACGATGAGAAATTTCAATTACTCAGATATGGTAAACATGAGGAAAATTAAATCTTCATCAGAGTACAAAACAAATTCTGGCCACAAAATAGAGCGAAACACCAACGTCAAAGACCTAGGAGTGATTTGTCGGAGGATCTCACCTTCAAGGACCATAACATTGTATCAATCGCATCTGCTAGAAAAATGACAGGATGGTTTAAGGAGAACCTTCAAAACTAGGGGGGCCAACCCCATGATGACACTCTTCAGGTCACTTGTTCTATCTAGGCTGGAATATTGCTGCACTCTAACAGCACCCTTTCAAGGCAGGTGAAATTGCCGACCTAGAAAATGTACAGAGAACTTTCACGGCGCGCATAACGGAGATAAAACACCTAAATTACTGGGAGCGCTTGAGGTTTTCTAAACCTGTATTCCCTGGAACGCAGGAGGGGAGATACATGATTATATACCCCTGGAAAAATCCTAGAGGGACTAGTACCAAACTTGCACACGAAAATCACTCACTACGAAAGCAAAAGACTTGGCAGACGATGCACCATCCCCCCAATGAAAAGCAGGGTGTCACTAGCACGTTAAGAGACCATACAATAAGTGTCAGGGGCCCGAGACTTTTTAAAACTGCCTCCCAGCACCCCATAAGGGGATTACCAACAGACCCCTGGCAGTCTTCAAGCTGGCACTGACAAGCACCTAAAGACAGTTCCTGATCAGCCGGGCTGTGCCTCGTACGTTGGTTTGCGTGCAGCCAGCAGCAACAGCCTGGTTGATCAGGCGCTGATCCACCAGGAGGCCTGGTCACAGACCGGGCCGCGGGGGCGTTGACCCCCGAAACTCTCTCCAGGTAAACTCCAGGTGTGCTGCTTCCCTGGCGTGCATGGTGTGCTGCTTCTATGGCGTGCATGGTGGGGGCTGCTCTATGGCGAGCATGGTGGGGCTGCTTCTATGGCGTGCTGTTTCTATGGCGTGCATGGTGTGCTGCTTCTATGGCGTGCATGGTGTGCTGCTTCTATGGCGTGCATGGTGTGCTGCTTCCCTGACGTGCATGGTGTGCTGCTTCTATGGCGTGCATGGTGTGCTGCTTCTATGGCGTCATGGTGTGCTGTTTCTATGGCGTGCATGGGGTGGGTGCTTCCCTGGCGTGCATGGTGTGCTGCTTCTATGACGTGCATGGTGTGCTGCTTCTATGGCGTGCATGGTGTGCTGCTTCTATGGCGTGCTGTTTCTATGGCGTGCATGGTGTGCTGCTTCTATGGCGTGCATGGTGTGCTGCTTCCCTGACGTGCATGGTGTGCTGCTTCTATGGCGTGCATGGTGTGCTGCTTCTATGGCGTGCATGGTGTGCTGTTTCTATGGCGTGCATGGTGTGCTGCTTCCCTGGCGTGCATGGTGTGCTGCTTCTATGACGTGCATGGTGTGCTGCTTCTATGGCGTGCATGGTGTGCTGCTTCTATGGCGTGCTGTTTCTATGGCGTGCATGGTGTGCTGCTTCTATGGCGTGCATGGTGTGCTGCTTCTATGGCGTGCATGGTGTGCTGCTTCCCTGACGTGCATGGTGTGCTGCTTCTATGGCGTGCATAGTGTGCTGCTTCTATGGCGTGCATGGTGTGCTGTTTCTATGGCGTGCATGGTGTGCTGCTTCCCTGGCGTGCATGGTGTGCTGCTTCTATGACGTGCATGGTGTGCTGCTTCTATGGCGTGCATGGTGTGCTGCTTCTATGGCGTGCATGGTGTGCTGCTTCCCTGACGTGCATGGTGTGCTGCTTCTATGGCGTGCATGGTGTGCTGCTTCTATGGCGTGCATGGTGTGCTGTTTCTATGGCGTGCATGGTGTGCTGCTTCCCTGGCGTGCATGGTGTGCTGCTTCTATGGCGTGCATGGTGTGCTGCTTCTATGGCATGCATGGTGTGCTGCTTCTACGGCGTGCATGGTGTGCTGCTTCTATGGCGTGCATGGTGTGCTGCTTCTATGGCGTGCATGGTGTGCTGCTTCTATGGCGTGCATGGTGTGCTGCTTCTATGGCGTGCATGGCGTGCTGCTTCTATTGCGTGCATGGTGTGCTGCTTCCCTGGCGTGCATGGTGTGCTGCTTCTATGGCGTTCATGGTGTGCTGCTTCCCTAACGTGCATGGTATGCTGCTTCTATGGCGTGCATGGTGTGCTGCTTCTATGGCGTGCATGGTGTGCTGCTTCCCTGACGTGCATGGTGTGCTGCTTCTATGGCGTGCATGGTGAGCTGCTTCTATGACGTGCATGGTTTTCTGCTTCTAGGCGTGCATGGTGGGGCTGCTTCTATGGCGTGCATGGTGTGCTGCTTCCCTGACGTGCATGGGTGCTGCTTCTATGGCGTGCATGGTGTGCTGCTTCTAAAGACGTGCATGGTGTCTGCTTCTATGGCGTGCATGGGGTGCTGCTCTATGGCGTGCATGGTGTGCTGCTTCCCTGACGTGCATGGTGTGCTGCTTCTATGGCGTGCATGGTGTGCTGCTTCTATGACGTGCATGGTGTGCTGCTTCTATGGCGTGCATGGTGTGCTGCTTCCCTGACGTGCATGGTGTGCTGCTTATATGGCGTGCATGGTGAGCTGCTTCTCTGGCGTGCATGGTGTGCTGCTTCTATGACGTGCATGGTGTGCTGCTTCTATGGCGTGCATGGTGTGCTGCTTCTATGACGTGCATGGTGTGCTGCTTCTATGGCGTGCATGGTGTGCTGCTTCCCTGACGTGCATGGTGTGCTGCTTATATGGCGTGCATGGTGAGCTGCTTCCCTGGCATGCATGGTGTGCTGCTTCTCTGGCGTGCATGGTGAGCTGCTTCCCTGGCGTGCATGGCGAGCTGCTTCTCTGGTGTGCATGGTGAGCTGCTTCTCTGGCGTGCAGGGCGAGCTGCCCTGGTGTGCATGGTGAGCTGCTTCTCTGGTGTGCATGGTGAGCTGCTTCCCTGGCGTGCATGGCGAGCTGCTTCCCTGGTGTGCATGGTGAGCTGCTTCTCTGGTGTGCATGGTGAGCTGCTTCTCTGGCGTGCATGGCGAGCTGCTTCTCTGGTGTGCATGGTGAGCTGCTTCCCTGGCGTGCATGGCGAGCTGCTTCCCTGGTGTGCATGGCGAGCTGCTTCTCTGGTGTGCATGGTGAGCTGCTTCTCTGGCGTGCATGGCGAGCTGCTTCCCTGGTGTGCATGGTGAGCTGCTTCTCTGGTGTGCATGGTGAGCTGCTTCCCTGGCGTGCCCTGGCGAGTCTCCCCCGGTGTGCATGGTGAGCTGCTTCTCTGG